ATTATATAAGTTCATCATCCACAATGAGTAAACTGTATCGGTGTGAATAATGAGTTCAATATACACAATAACATAATAAGAGATTTAATGTTACAGTATGTAGACTATACTGTACATACAATATACAGTACAAATATAATAATACAAAGTACACATCAAACAAAGGAGAATATTGTGATACATCATATATATAGTACTGAGGGTTGTAGTAATTACAGCATTGATTTACAGTAATATATATCATGTAAATGTGAAATAAATCGATATGAGACTACTTACAGAAACATCAGATCATTGTGTCTCTTTCTTTGGTCTCTTTAAGAGACGAGACAGCACTCTCTGGAGGACAAACTGTGTGACGGAGACTCTAAACGTCCTCAAACTCAATCTGTGACACTTACTGATCAGCTGACTCATCAGTAAATACGTCTGCAATGAACTGATATTGATCTTTCTCTTTATTAAATGCAATGTGCCCTCCAGCATCCATGGCCTCTGAGTGCTCGTACGTCGATGTATCTGTTCCGTCTGACGTCACTTCTTCTCTCTAACTCTCTGTGGAGGTCATGACTGGAGCATCGTCCAGCTGGGAGTACCAGGACTGATCTACGGCCTCGATGTCGACACGTCCTTCTTCACTGGAAACCACTCGCCCTCCGTCTCCATCCAGGCCGGCTGTCTGGGTACCAGCTCCTCTGATCCTCGTTAGACTAAACTATGAGACTCTCTCTGTTACTTAGTGAGAAAGATAACAAACGCCGGGTCCGTTGGTACCAAACAAACTTCATTTACATGAAATTAACATTTTACAATGAATTAGTGACAGATTCTATATGTGCACACAGAACAACATGAGTTATTTAGTTTGTTAGACACTTTAAAAGGTACACAGATAGAGACTCAATGGTCCTCGTCTGTTGTAGAGCTGAATCTTTGGGCTGTGTGAAAGCACATTGTTTGTATTTGCTTTGGTTTAATCTCATGTGTCCACTAGGAAGCAAACCACTGAACGAAAACACAAACAGAAATGACAAGATGGCCGACGCTATACAGTAGTCAGCTAAAACACCACCTCTAACTGTGACTCAGTATGAGACATATGGGACTGTCCTGAACTAACACTGACCTGTTCTTCACCAGACAAACCGCCCCCCTTCAGCCTGGAGGGAGACCGAACCGGCATGGCCGCCTCCGACGGTCAGCTGGCTGCTGTCGCCAAGGTAACACTGACCTGTGGAGTGTCAACACGTTCTCACTCAAAACTCGTCGAATAGTAACGCCTGTTCAGCGGCTATAAGCTTCCAACTAGTCATATGACGCTCTACGTTCCTCTCTAGAGTCATATGACGCTCTACGTTCCTCTCTAGAGTCATATGACGCACTACGTTCCCCTGTAGAGTCATATGACGCTCTACGTTCCCCTCTAGAGTCATATGACACTCTACGTTCCTCTCTAGTCATATGACGCACTACGTTCCCCTCTAGAATCATATGACGCTCTACATTCCCCTCTAGTCATATGGCGCTCTACGTTCCCCTCTAGAGTCATATGACACTCTACATTCCCCTCTAGAGTAATATGACCCTCTACGTTCCCCTCTAGAGTCATATGA